TTAGTAAACGTCCTTGACCGTTTTTATAGATGACCTTAAAGGCTGAGTTAACATCGACCTTATGGTTCATCTCGATTAAATGTCTAGCTATAGACGAAGTTGGTAGTCTGACACCTGCATATATTGGCTTGTCACAATTCATCTGTTTTTCTAACCACTTTGGGATATGCTCTCCCACCCTCACGTGCTAATTGTTCGATAGATGGGAACCAAATTAGCTAGCTGCAGGATAGGCTGCACCTAGTCACCTACTCAATTTTCTGTTGACAAAGGTGTAAGTTTTTTAACTTTAAAATCAAGTCGAATGAAGACAGGCCTTTTCCCACTGTAATTTGTTTGACATTTGAGTCTTGAGATCTTCCATACTTGTTAATGAACCTTTGAGGGTAACCGTTGCTTTCTAACATCTTTTCGGTATGTATAAATTCTTCCTGTAATTTCTCTGTAGAGTTCATTCTACTAGCTCTGGAGTACAGAGATTTGAATAATGCTCGCTAGCTATTTAAAAACTATTAAAATGTAGGTGTTGTCCTTTGCATGTAGGCTTTTTGTATGACTTCTAGAGACTACCATCTTCTAGGCGTTGCATGGAAATGTCGAGGAAATTGAAGTTTTCATCATTTTCATGTTCCATAGTAAATTCAATATTGGTATGCGAGTGCGTCGTCGAATAAACCTAGTAGATATCATTCGCTGTTGTACACTACAAATATGTCATCGACATTTCAACCATATTGTCGACAGTCTAAACTGAATAGTCTGGTAGTTCCATTGGCATTCCCAACTAACTTAGTCATAACCATAGAGCACTGTATGATTTGATTCTTAACAATGCCAGACGACACTGCTGAGAACAAACTCTATCTTAGACGAGTCTTTGAATTGAATACTACCGGAAGTTATCATCATTCTTCACTACGACTGTCAATATCTCAACACTAACGCTTATACTAATACGAATATGTCTGCTAAGCGAAATAGTTACCTCTCGTGAGAAAGACAAACTGAGAAAACGAATGTGTTCATCTAGAGATCACTGCATCTTGTTTTCAAGGTCTTCTTCCTGGGCGGCAATATAGCCTGGATTTCAGGCAAGATGATATCCCGGTCCAACCTCCCATAACTCTGTTGAAATCCGAGTCACAGCGTATGGTCATCAGTAAATAACGCAACACCATATGGGTGTTGTTGAATTCACGAGCCATTTCACCTGCCAACTTCAGCAAATCCGTTGTCAGAGATTGGAGAATGGCTGCTGGAGTGTCAAGTTTGACACGTTTTGCGAAGTATCTCTTGTGCAGTATACGATGAATACAACGAATAGAGAGTAGCAGTTTATTGGCTTCAGTGCGCAGTTTAACTTCCGGTTAAGATCTCCTCTTGCCTCGATAGGCCATAGTTTTTTCTAGGTCAGAGTAAAGCGCATAATTCAACTCGATTGCACAAGCGTATTTATGTTATTATTTGGTCCACATTTAGTCGAAAGTGCCGATGATTAGGGAGTCTGTAGCGTCTGATTAGTAAATGAAATTTTGTTATTCCTGTATGGCGACTGTTCACTTCATTTTTAACCTGGACAAGTCAAGGTGACCGGTGGTGGATTCACGTTTGTCACTGGCCAATGATAATTCCGCCCCCCCCCTGCGCGTTTATTGGTGGAAATTGAGTAAGGCAGCCAGTCAAAAATGAACGAGGACCGGAAATCACGTGGCTTACTAGTCATTCACTGTAAGTTTTGATTTGATTGATTCTTATGGGAGTGATGTATCCACTTTTAACACTGAGGGGAAGGTTTAAAAGTTTAAATTACGTTAAAGAGTGAAAGATAATTTTAATTTTGACGTTAGGTCAAGTTAAACCTTGAGCACCATTGGAATGCGACCGTACCAATGATATTGAAACGCCCACAGAGCAAGTTAGTGAAACCTGGCAAATTATCTTATCATCATCAATAGAATATGCTCATCGAAGTCATTAGCGAGAACGATCACTTTGAGCCAGCCAGTCATATGACCAATTGTCTCCAGACTTCATTGGTTCTCCATTATGGGTAAATTTTATTTTGATAAAGTCTCACAGTGTTATACAGTAATGTTTACTGATGACGTTTCGAGCACAATTTATTGCTCATAATCATATCAAGGTAATCACACGACTTCCTAAATTAATTTATATGGTTCCATTGTTTTTCACTTGATTTGATTGGTAGTGATATCAATGATTCATTGGTTCTCACCACCATCCCGAGTACCCCAACCAGACAGGTAATCAGGAAGTTTATACCTTCCTACGTGGCAGGCGGGCTTAAACTAAATGTTGTGGATTTCATTTACTGATGATAGAACTTCAGGTGAACATAGATAAAACAGAGGTGATGAAGATTCCTGGGCAACACCACCAACAGCAACAACAACAATCAGCATAAATGGGAGGAACCTGAAAGAAACAACCTCTTTTACCTACCTGGGAAGCATCGTCTCAACTACAGGCAGACGGAACTGACGGGGATATCGAAGCAAGGATCGGAAAAGCAAGACAAGCTTTCACTACTCTCAAGTCTATGTGGAGGTCAACAACACTCAGCATCAAAAATAAGATCCGGATTTTCAACTCCAATGTGAAGTCAGTGCTACTCACTATACGGATCAGAGACTTGCACTGTGCATCATAAAGAGCATCTCAAACAAACTACAGACCTTCATTAACAGTTGTCTTCGCTCAATACTCAAGATCAGATGGCCAGAAAACATCAGCAACAGGGATCTCTGGCAATGAGCGAACCAACCAGGAACCGATTGTGAAACAAATAGACAGGAAGAAATGGAGATGGATTGGCCATACTCTGAGGAAACCATCAAGTGACATCACTAGACAAGCCATCACTCGAGTGGAACCCGAAAGGGAAGTGGCGAGTTGGTCGTCAGTGCGAGGGTGACTTGGAGGAGGTCATGTGAAGAGGAGACGAAAACGTGTGGGCAGACATGGAGCCAGGTGAAGACTCTAGCAGAGAACCGAACGCAATGGAGACGCATGGCTGAAGCCTTATATTCCTCTAGGAATTAAAGGATACAATAATAATAAAAATAATAATGAAGCCATGTTTTGGTTTAACCCCTACCACTGCCTAACTCTTTTTCAACCTGATCCATCCTATGCCAGTCAGTCAGCTAACATTGCTGTAATAACTCTGTTGCCTATTTGTTATAAGTGAACTGAATAAATTTGTCACCACTTCGTTATATCTGCGCCTGTAAATTACTATAATCGTAATGAACTCAACTGGTGCGCTAATACGTCTACTTGACCGTTGTGACTTCCGATTCACTGAGCCAATCAAATATCAAAAGATAAAGGCTGGCTGGCCTGTGACTGTAAGATATTGTGTTATTATACTATATTATATTATAAAGTTTAAGAAACAACACATGATATATTTTCTTAACCATAATAAAGTCAGCTAACGACCGTGGGAATGTATTGTTCTTATTGGTTGGATATGTCTATCTTTATACGTTGGTGACCAGACAAAGAACAAGGTGAGACAAAAGACGACGTATTAGTTATACGCTAAATTACAATATGCGTGAGAAATGATACATTAACATGGTAACTCTATCACATGATAAATCACGCGATTCGTGAAAAGGATGATAACATACTATTTTATGCTAAGTTCTATAAATTGCCTATTGTCGAGGTTACCGATGTCTAGGCGTACGTAACTGATAGGATCCCACACACTTTGTTATTGTTCAATTATTTTAACGACTGTTAATCTCGCATATGTGGTATATCATCATTTCCCACGCATTTTGATATTGACTATTATGACCAATTATTTCAAATGCTGTTAGCTGTCTGTATTGTTGTAAAAATGTATAAATACTATTTCCTAAATAAGTTTCTTTGTCGTCGTCGTAGTTGTTGTACTACAATATAAAGTCAGAGACCAGCTTTTGTCTTTTGATATTTGCGTGGTTCGCTGAATCGGAAGGTACCAGAAGCAGATAGGCATATTAGTCAGGCGCAGACAGAACAAGGCGACAACGTCCTCATTTAACTCGCCTACAGTTATAACAGTAACACATGTCCTGACCATCTCTCTCAATCGGTGTAACAGCTTCACAACCTCGTCGAATGATTTACCCTTCGGTATTTTGTCTGCGTCTTCACCTAGAAGGACTATATCAACTGCATATTCTATGTCAACGAAATTATTCCCTGGTCAGGTAACAAGTCAATGCTTGAGTCGCTAAAGTCCAAAGTTACGGTTAATTCCATTAACACACACATCTTTAATGAAATTAAATAGAAACCCCGACCGATCACTGCTACCTACCTCGACGTGGTGGCAGAGTGGAAGATTCTGCTTTTCACATTATACTTGGGGTCTGTCTGTCGGCAAATTCATACTGCTAGGGAACAGGGATGTAACAGCAGCGGTAAGGTGTTCCCCACACTCAGCCATGCTGTCTCTCCAAATCTCTGGAGAGAGTGAAGGGGAGTTAGAAAAGTTCGACCCCAAAAGTTGTACACCCAGACTTACTCTACAATGGTGGTGGTCCGTAAACGGCGGTACATTTACTAATACGTACGGAACCAATCCATACAGGCTGTGTGTGACCAACCAGCCCAACTCAAGTAGTTGTCTCCTGAGGTCAACTTAGATCACGCAACACTAACTTTGTTTCTGTTTCAGATAGCCCTAAGAATAAATCAATCAACTTCCAAGGTGGTGTGGAGCGGAGCAGCCAGGAAGTAGCAATCGCTCACACACTTCCAAAAGCACAGACAGCCCCCTCCTGATAAGAATTCTCCTTTATCCTTATCACTCTCATTATCTTGCTTCCCTACCACTACTACTAATACTGTCAAGTACTATTCTGCAGACTGGTCTGTCATCTTCATTTCATTCTGTGGCCATAAATAACAATGAGATCCAAACGACACCGCACACAAACCCCCCACACACACCGGGTCAAGACAAAATCAAAGGGATGTGGGGCGAGAATCAAGTTGTATTTATATATATTGATGAAGAAAAAGACTGAAAAGCTGAATGATTGAAACGTGTATGTAAAACAACACATTACATAATATGCAATAAAACAGACAACGAACTGTTCAACAACACACTGTACCAACACATTCCTCACAATTTAATGGCCTAGAAGTCTTCATCATCAGGATCATCATCATCTGCAGCAGCATCAGAATCCACGTCGTCGTCTTCTTCATCATCACTGTCATCAACCATTACAACACGACGTTTGTGTGTACGAGCTCTTCTTGGCGGTAGTGATGATATGCGACTTTCAACACCGGATGTATTGACAAGTGTAGTTGATGCACTACTACTACTAACTGATGATGACGATTCAGGAGGATGGGATGCTGTTGTTATAACACCACGTGAATGACTACTATTCGAATGGGGTGGTGGAATATGATGAGTTTTTGAGATGACAGACACTGACCCACTGTTGGTACTACTATGACGTGAAATACAATAGGTTGTTGTTGTTGCCGGCGTTGACATCGTCTTTCGTGATACACGACGTTTAGCTGCCGCTTTACTGTTAAATGAACTACGACTAGCACTATCATCTAATTTCATAATATAGTAGGAGAAATTTTAAAAAATAAAAAGAAGAGAAAAGTCAATAAATCAATGAATTGAAATACGCCTAAACATCAAAATTTATCTAACAGAACAAGCACCCATTACCGATTTTTCAAGTACCAGGATAAACGTCACACTTATGGAGTGTGTGAGCAAGGTGGTTTATATGATTGATAACCTAGGCTAATTAGGCAGAGAGGGACTCGAATCTGTGACTCATCCCGAATGAACAACAAGGGTTTATAGAAGTAAAACAGCCACGTCGAATAAATATATTAATAGTGAATATTCTGTTAAGTTTATGGAAAATGAATCCAACTACCACCAGTATATTCAAGAAAAAAGGACGAATGATGATCACTCTACCCCAACCTCCCCGTCCCTCATAAAAGACCAAGATGTTTGGTATATGTGAGTTTAGATAATTTTATCTAAAAAATTATCAATCAGTGGACTTCTGGTTTCTTAAACAAAATGTTAGTTGATTATGATGAAAAATGAGGATGAAGTGAAGAATATCCTGACTGGACAAATTTAACAATGTTCATCCCTGCAATACATTTTACCGTCGAGAAAGGAAAACACTCTAGTATTTCATTTTCTAGACGATGTCCTTATGACTAGAAAAAAGGACAGTACACGAGAAGAAGTGTATATAGAAAACATACATCAACTGACTGTCAGTATACTCATTTTTCTGGCTTCGTGCCTTTGAAATTCACAAACGCAATCTGATAAAGTGCTTGGTTCGCCACGGAGCAACAGCAATCTGCTCTGATGAATGTCTTAATGAAGAGCTTAACATTATTCAACAGTTGCTGGCTGAGTAAGAACGGTTATCCATAAAAATTTGTCGATAAGAACAGAAATCAAAAATTAAGACAAACCAAGGTACCAACAGTTCTGAAAAAGGAAGGCATTATTCTTACACAGATATCCTGAAACCGCGTGCTGCGTTTAAGCTGACCACCTACAATGTTCGGATACTGATGTAAATCAGACAACAGACAGGTTTGGTAAGAACACTGGAAAGCCATACTATCGGTGTCTGCTGCATTTCGGAGAGCCGCATTCAAGATCCCAGTGAAGCACTTCGATTATCCTCTCCATGTGAAAGTGCTAGTAGTATGTAGCACCTGCGCTTGTCCGAGGACACTGTGGAGTCGGTATCCGATGTAGCTGGTGTCGGTGTCACACAAAGCGCTAGAGCCGAAGCTGCATTACTCGACTGGATCCCCATTAACTGTCGTTTATGTGCTGTGAGGCTGGATGGTTATACGAAGGTAAGAAGTGGTGGGCCAGATAGGCGGTGCCTATTTGTTGTCTCTGCCTATGCACCGATGGATTGCAGCCCGGATGCAATTAAGGATGAGTTCTACTACCAAATGGGCAAACTCTTGAAACAGGCGCGTCGGAGGGGACTTGAATGCACAGGTCGTTTGTCTAAGCTCAGAGGAGAATCGTCTAGATGATTAGTGTGGTTTACATGGTCACAAGTCAGATACTTGGGACCGTCTTCTGGTGCTTTGCCAAGATCACAACCTTTTTCTAGTCCGCACCAAATTCCAGCACAGCCATCACCGTAGCGCTACATGGCGCTACCCCTGCGAATCAAGCTTGAACTCAGATTGATCAAATTGCTGTCAGTTTCCGCTGGCGAGGATTCATAAAGAACTACCGCGCCTTCCGGAGCACATGACTGGACTCCAATCATGCGTGTGTGCCAGGTTCGTCTTGCGATTTCATGGGGTTTCACAAACGGCGTCATCTAAACGTCGATGTGAGCAAATTGGTAGCACCTGCTACTTCTTTGAAATACCAGAATAAGTTACAATCAATGCTTGCTGGCAACCCTCCAAGTAGTATAGATGAACATTGGCTTCATCTGCAAAGTGCCATGCAAATGGTTAGTGTAGCCGCGTGCAACTTAAAAGAGTGCTCCGCTAAAAACTACCGGATTTCCGCAAGTTCCTTGCAACTCCTGGATGAATGCCGGTTCATTCTGGCTGGTAGCAAATACAACAATATGCGAAAGGCTCTTATGCGCAAGATAAGACAGCACCTATGTAAGGACCGAGAAGCCTGGTGGTCAGGACGTGTGTATGAGATGGAGTCAGTTGCTACATCTAGCAACAGTCGGAAGCTGTTCCAGTTCATTCAAGTCACCGACAAAAAGAAACAAGATGTCAGCGAGATGGTTTGTGAGGGAGATGGCACTCCAATAACCAGGCTGAAAAGACGCCTGGAACGCTGGGCAGAGCACTTTGAGAAGCGGTTTAACTGGCCACCAGCTCCAGTGCTCCTTGATCAGTTAGTACCAACCCGCCGACCGAAGCGGAGGGCCATAAGGAACTCCAAGTACTAAAACGCCATAAGGCACTTGGCCAAGACAATCTACACCCGGCTCTTTTTACTGATGGTGGCGAGAATCTTGTCATGGCTTTAACTGAACTATTCATGAAATTATGGGAGACTGAGCATGTACCATCAGTGTAGAATGAAACCATTATTGTCTCCATCTTTAAAAGGCGTCGACGTAACTCATTTGACAACCATAGCCGGAGGCGGTATCAGTCTGCTACCAGTTACGTCTAAAATATTGGCTGCTGTCTTGCTTCGCAGGGGCTGTGGAAAACACGCGTTCCATGGCATTATCACCGCATGTTAGTAATTCTGAGATCCGGCAGTGTGCATGTGTTTGGACACACTGGAGATCACGATTCGTTGAGTGTTGTCCTCTGGGGCATGTGCTGCGAATGTCATCCCATAGGCTTCCTACAGGTCTCTCTGTTCGTTAGCCAGTCGTAGGATGCGATGGAGAAGGCGCAGAGGTGATCAGCCCATTACATGGAGTCGTAGGACGAAGGACATTTGTGTTACGTTAGCATCGGTTGGAGTCCGAGAGACAGTGGCTCGTTTGAAAAGTTATCGGATATAACCAAGAATCGTAATCATCAATGGCAAATGTCGTGCTGCAGTTTCCTTCTTTCTTCCCTTTCCGACGATAATTGACGAATGTTGTTTGAACTTGTTTTTATTATTATTATGATTGTGCCATACTGTATCAAGTTATTTTGTGTTTAAATCAATAAATCAATGCATAAAGTTATTTTCTTAAACAAAAAAGAAAATTCTCACCATCTTCCATAGGATCATCCATTGTTTCGTCGTCATCATCATCATCTAAATCATCTAAACCACCAAGACTATCACCTCCATTGACAGAATTATCTTGGATATTTTGTTGACCATTTCCTGTTGCTGTACTACTGCTTCCAGTGGCATCAGTTGTCGAGGCTTTACGACCAGCAGTAGTTGTAGTAGTAGTATTAAAACATGCTTCATTAGATGTACGAGCGTGTTTTGATGCTTCACTACGCTCATCTTCATCATCATCGTCTTCGCGTTCATCTTCTTCATCCTCTTGGTCTTCTTCTCCGTCCTCCTCTTCATCATCATCACGTATTGTAACGTGTCTATGATGTTGACTGGAATAAGAGCTGCTGTTAGTGTTGTTGTTGTTGTTGCTGCTGGTGTTGGTGTGGTAATGACTTGATTGACGAGAATCAGACTGTTGACGTGATTCAATTTCTTCTAATCTTTCTCGTGCATTCGTCCATACTGATTGAAGTACCACTGAATCTTCGAAAATCTTTTTTTTTTAAATTTAATGAAACAAAACGGAGAAAGTTTGAATAAGGCATCTCTACAATCGCTTTTACAACTAGCAGCATGGTTGGTTCAAAATAATAATAATAATAACACAATATGAAATAAAATGCATGACAGCTACTCAGTGATATAAAACAAAAGTACATACTATGCTAATGACCAAACAGCATCAGTCATCATCAAGGGAAGCACCGTTTCAAATGCAGGCAGTCGAAACGGATGAAGATGTAGGAGCTAGCTAGTCAGTCAGCCAGAATCGGAAAGGCAAGATAAGCCTTCATCAACTTAAAACCAGTTTAGAAATCTTCTACACTGCACTCCGCCTCAGCATAAGCAACAAGATTCGGATTCTATTCAAGACAGATGTCAGTGAAGTCAGTCAGTTCTTCTAAACGGGTCAGATACTTGCACTGCGTGTGAGTCATGAAAACGATTTCCAACAGGTCACTGCAGACTTTTATCAATAGCTGCCTTCGCTCCATAGTAGGTAGGTTAATAAAGATAGCTTTCTTTGGTACAGAAGCTGTCTTTACAAGATGTGGTCCTCTCCTTACTGTGACAACTGATGAAGTTTTCTGGATGATCATTAGCTAATTACAACTGGTTGTATATTTCGAAGCTTATCCATCAATGTATTGCTCGTACACACTTTGCGGGCCTTTGGAAACAAACATTTCATCACTAGGAGGGAACGTTTGGAAACACATAAATATATCTCTAATCGTAACCCTAACCTTAATCCTGATCCTAAAATTAACACTAGCCCTAACCTTAATCCAAACCTTGATTACAACCCTTATCCCAACCATAAACCTAACCCTAATCCCAATTATAACCGTAATCCTAATCCTAACCCTAATATCTACCTTAACCGTAATCGTAACCCTAACGAGCTATTAACACATTGTCCAAACACTACTTAAAAATGTGATCTGGGTGAAATTTACTCCTTAGTTGGTGAATAGCGTTGATAATGACAGGTGCTTTTAGCCAACGACTAGCATACGTTCAATGTCATTGGAGCGTTCGCACTCCTCGGACGGTATTGTTGAAATTCGCCTATGTTTGCCACACACATTTGTACTTTTAGTCATTTCCCCGCCCCAACCCCGTGTCTCTACATCTCTCTCTCTCTCTGTGCCTTGCTTGTCTAGAAATACACGTTCTTATAATAACCACAATTTTCGTGTCTTCTAGGATTTACTAGTTTGTGTTACAGCGAATAATTGACTATGGAATTAATACATTTATCGTCAGCCTACATTCCTTATTCCCTCTCGGCGACATGTTCAGCTCTGTCTACCTATCCAGGTAAGTAGTTAGTTATCTGGACTTCTAGCGGGAAGTCATGACCAGTAGGCTACAGCAGGTCGGGTGTGTGAGGACAAATACTCGCCAGCAGCGATGATATTCACTAGCTGTCGCGCTATGTTGTGCTTGAATGGGCTGGCTGGCTGGCCATTGGATTGAACCGGCTCCCAGTGAGTGACTGCTTAATGATCTACGAGCTAACTCGCTCGCTCGCCTTGTAACCAAAAGGTGGTCCTGGGTTCGAACCACAGTCGAATGGGGTGGGTGCGTACTGATGAAGAGCCAGTCCATTCCCAAGTACTAGGACGGAGGAAACAGCTGGCTGTCCGGCAGTACTCTACCTGTAGCAGGATTTCCATTGGTTCTCTAACCACCAACTGCGATGTCAGTGCTCATGAATCACAGAAAATCCCTCTACAAAACCAATACTTGAATTACATTTTAGCCTGAAAGTCAATATTTATGCCAATGTTATGCTGCAATATTACGCTTATTATCAAGTATTACTTATCGGAAACAATTCGAATAAATTAATGAATTAATCAACTTACTAAACTTCCATCCATATTATACGTTTGAGCATTTTTACACAATAATAAAACATCCGATTCTAATTCATCAACTGAACGATATTTCCCGTCTTTAACACGTTGTCTAATCCGATTAAAATCTACAGGTTTTTTAATGACTTCATAATAATCGGGCAATTCTTTTCTTGTTGGCAGTTTCATAAATGGTTCACTTAATATTCGTTGATCTCTAGAAAATGAGAGGAAGACAAAAAATATATATATTAGAGAAACATATAAGGAAAGGAATGTCTTAACTAGAAATAACAAAGCCTTTATCATCAATTGCGTCAGTGGCGCAGCACGCAGGTGATCCGGAGTTCGATCCCCGGTCGGCCAACACCGACACACTCCTTTACCTCGCTCGCTAAGCCAGTAATAAATCCGGTAAAGAGGGAAGGTTGGGGGGCCATGAGGCTAGCAGCAACCTTATCCCGTGAAAATACAACACCACTGATATCGAAGTTTCAAGCCTCTCTAACTTCAAGGTGCCCAATGTTCGTTACACTGGGAACGCACACTTTATAGAATATAACATATCAATAAGCAATTTCACGACTGGCAACTAAGTGGAAAATCATATTTGTAAAATTATTGTAATGTAAACAGGACACTTAAAATCAATGAAGAGAAGATTTGTAGCTCAGGTGGATGATGCCGAATTTAGTTCTCTTCTCTGAGGAGTTGGTTGATTGTTTTTATAATTGCGAAGCTTTCGTCGTCGTCATCATCCCCCTCTCCTTCTAGACAACATCCCCTCCCTTCTCAGAGCAAGTTTTAGCATAAAATGAACTCATTTGTTGAATTTACTCTGCCCCATTAATGATGACATAATTGTCTCGCCTAGCAATGTATTTATTCTTTCATATTAATGCATGTAGATAATTAAGGACACCAATTTAGTGATTGAGATTATGGCGAAATTTTAAATAGAGGAAATACCAAAAATACTCCCAGAGAATTCCTAGACGCCTGGTTGTTAGTCAAGTGAACCAGCCAGTGATTAACAAACACACAATACTATTGATCAAATTTATCAACTAATAAAAAGTAAATTATCCCGTGACATGACGAGAAAGTTCAATTTCTAAGTCAATAGAAAAAATAATCAATACAGATGTGAATCGACTACCAGCCTCAAAGATGATTGTTGCCAGGCGAGACACACATGCATATGATCATTCATGGACGGAGAGGGGAGGGGAATTCTTCAAATAAGTTCATTTTATACTAAAATTTCCTCTGAAAGGGATGGGATTTTGTCTAGAAGGAGAGGGGGATGACGATGACGACAAAAGCTTCGCAATTATAAAAACAATCAACCAACTCCTCAGAGAATAGAACTAATTCCAACAGCACATCACAAGATAACAATACAGCCTAGATTAAAGAAAACGAGTTTACGTATTTTCTCATAATTAAAAAACCAAAAAAATGAAGAAAACAAGAAAAGGAACCTACTTATCCTTGTATTCGATTACGATGTCCAGTAAACGTTGTAACTTTTTAGCAAGTTTTGGAGAAACTGATTGATGCATTGATGATCTTGAATTACTACCAGCAGAAGATCCATGCGGTGGACGTCCACGACGACGTTTAGATGCCTGTGGTGCAGCCATAGTAAGACTGCCTGCCTCTGAACTGCCATCGTCCATGAAACTTGAATCCTTTAAAAATTATGCGGAGACAAATTAATGCATCATTAACTGACAATTCATTATAATAAAGGTTTTTGTATTTCCCATTGAACTGGTCTCCATATTGGCGGGAGACAAGAAGGCTGTCATTGCATAATCAATCGTGTACTGGTTGGCAGAAGTACGATCAGAAGCATTCTTGTACATTAATTATCTTAACATTTATTTACAGACTTTAGCACTGATTAATCACTGTAAAAATATGTTTCGTTATCGCTTAAAGAATAAATAATCGTGTTGCCCAACAGTTTTCTGCTGTTCCGCGTTGGTTACAGTGCATAATGTCCTACCTATTACACTGGACCTTCTGAAACCAGAGATAGGTCCAGGATCTCAGTAATCTGGATATTTGACAACTGGGATATTTCGATTTTTCCTGTTTTATAGGTGTGAGATCGCAAGGTGACATCAGTAAGGAAAACAACCGGGAAACCAAGGAGCATTGGATAGCAGTTGTGTCCTGCGTTTAGGACTCTTCAGAAGTACCCACTCACCGGGATTCGAACCTAGGACATTCACCTTCTAGTTATATGGTGAGTTCGGAGATCATTCAGACACTGGGATATGATCCAATTGGCGATATATTTAGCGAAACCACGCTAGCAGCAAGCGAGTATTTAGAATTTAGTACTCAAATCTTGTGAATAGTAATTACCGAAACTGACTTATTTTATTTCCAACTATTCAGTCACGTGGTCCAGGGTTCGAGTCCCGGCTGGCGCACTCCTTTACCTTCCCTAACCGGTTATAATCCCAACAAAGAGGGGAGGTTGATCGTGGAGCTAGCAATCCCACCTCGTGAAAAATACCACTGCTAGTGAAACTTCAATGCTCTAGCCTGAAGCCCTATGTTCCCCTGGGGACGCAAAGGAGTAAAAAAGAAAAAAAGATCACAGTCACGTCAAGTATCCATCCATATAATTAACCATTAAAGTCATAAAATTTATAATATGAATTTCTGAAATCTTCATTAGTTTATTCTACTGTGAGAATGACCACACCACACACTTTAGACTGAAGGTGGTACGATCTTCTTGGTGCTGGCTTGTCTAACTGTATCCAGTTAAGGAGCTCGCTGACGTTCACCCGCTTCCTTTTGTTTACATTTCTGATCATATATACGTTACCCTGTCTCGCGGTGAATGTGTGTACGTTCCTTCCCACTTTGGAAGCAGTTTGTGTAACCCTGGCTGGCTGGCGCGTATTTGCCGGTGTTTCGCCTCACACTCATCATAAGCTTTCTTCGCCCGCCCTCTCAGTAGCGTTCCAAGTAAAAGTGTCTTCGCTGACGGCTCTTCAGTACCATTCAACTCCGTAACAGCCTCGAAGTCCTGCAAGAACATCCATATGTCTCCTTCTTCAAAGACTGCAGGTCATGGGCTTTTTATTTGTCGACAGGCAGCGACACCAAATGTAACAGCAGAAGGCAAGACACAGAAGCCAAGGTGTATTTTCAAGTGATCAAACCGCTGTTTATATACATATATACAGTTTATATTCGTTAACCAATCATCACTGAGTGAGCGTGTGATTTTGGTTTACATTAAATGACATGAAATAGAATGTTCAAATATACACATACGGTATTCTGTTGCAAATGCATTGTGGGAATATGTGAGAAAAATATTCCGTTGGAACACATATGGTCCGTATCACAACACCACACTACGACTACCGAAATGCATTCGAGGCATAGTACAGAGCTAGGTATAAAGTTCACTACATCTGTATTGCTTATAAAAAATGCCAATCGAAACCGAAAAGTGATCACATCAAAAAGAAACACAACACTGCAAAAATTATTGCATCATACCCAATTTTTTAACAATACCTGAAATAAATAATCACACTAGAATCACATATGACGTAATATATTATGCGACAACAAGTAAAAACTTACATCTATGCGTTTACGTTTTCTACGCGCAGCACGTTTTTGACGTTGACGTTCTTCAGCCTCTTCCAGACTACCTTCATCGATTGCCTTGAGAAATTGTCGTTCTGTAAGTGCATCTGAATAATCAACTTCTTTGCGTTGACGTTTCATTCCAAATACACTTTCTTCTAATAATAAGCTTCGTTCAAGCTGTAGGTACAAAAAATAAGTCAATGAAAACAAGGGTATTTTTAGCAAGGCATTTAAGTGTGAGATTTAAGTTTCTTTGTGAGAGGTTATAGAATAATCTATTGGATCAGGTCCCAGTGAGTGGTTACATTAATGGTCTACGAGCTAGCTCGCCTTGTAATTGGAAGGTGGTGCTGGGTTCGAATCCCGGTGGTAGGGTGGGTGCGTACTGTTGAAGAGCGAGTTTCAAACTAGGGTGACGAAACAGATGTCTGGCAGTACTCCCTGTGGCTGGTTTTCCAATGATTTTCTGGCTGTCAATTAAGGTAAAATAAATTTTGTGCAGAACTCTTGTTGTAGAATAATCGATTAGCTCTGACACATCCCCATAGACTGAGGTTGCATGACTCATCCTTCGAGTTTCAATATCTTTGTTGAACTCTCAGCAATGAACACTATATAAAATAGAAGTTCTTGTGTGTAACTGTCACAAAAACCAATTATTGTATTCCCTTTACCTAAGTAGTTAGTGCATACCGAAATTCTTGCACCATATTACTACAACACAGACATGAGAGTGCATGCCACGTACTCGAAAGAACATTGAAAGTATATATATATATATATATATATATATATATATATATATACTTTGATTGGACACTAGTCGGTAAATAGTGTGATGTGTCTAGCTAGTCCTTTGTTTGGGGCAGACTAAATTCTATCAGTCAGTCAGATTTGCAGTGTGGCCAACATTCCATTAGGTGGCTGGCTCGCCATCACGGTGCACATTGATTTGATGATATTAGATGGTTGGAGGCGATCAGCCGTATGAAGCCTTGCTTAGACCTAGGTTTTTGTGCTAGTTGGCGCTCGTCAACAAGGCGTATCTGCAGACCTGAAGGAATTCATGTCCCTTCTGAGATTCGAACCCGCGTCACCCAGTGGTGCAGCCAGAGCCCGAATAGCTCAGTGATAACGTCTCTGACTGCAGTACTCACTGGGTGAATCGGGTTCGAATCTTAGAAGGCACATGAGTTCCCTCAAGGTTGCAGATACGCCTTGGCAATTAGTACGAAACCTAGGTCCAAGGCTTCCTTCCTGTGGCCGATTGCCTCCAATCATCTAATAATTAGGATTCTATATATTGAATACTACAAATCACTACTACTAGCTTATTACAGAATTGATAAGCACGTTGTCAAACGTAAAAGAGATCCCGAAACAACGGCATTAAAAACGAAATGGCATTACATATATAATGAAAATAAACAGCAGCACGTCAACAGTGAACAATTACTTCAATAAAAGAAGATGAATCCTTGAACCTTAAAAATATAATATACACAGTTTAGATGATTTATAATCCCCATTATAAAACGGACCCATAAAAAACAAAATTTGGAGGATCCGGATCGTGATTTCGCCGATGATATATGTCTGACTTCCCACAAACTGGAAGATGATGTGCAAGTGAAAAGAAACAAGATGGCGATAGAAAAAGCATCCAGAGAAGACAGGACTTCAGGTAAACACAGAGAAAACAAATGTGATGATGATGAAGATTCCTGCCTGTCAACAGCAACAACAACAGACAACAATCAGCCAGTATAAATGGGAGAAGTCTGAAAGAAGCAACCTTCTTTACCTACCTACCTGTGAAGCATCGTTTCAACTACACGAAAACGGAACTGACGAGGATATCAAAGCGAAGATCGGGAAAGCAAAGCAAGCCTTCGTTTCTCTCCAGTCTGTATGGAGATCAACACTCAGCATGAAAAATAAGATCCGGATTTTCAACTCCTATGTGAAGTCAGTGCTACTTTCTATACGGATCAGAGACTTGGCGCCACGCCTCGCCGCGTCAAGAAGACCACTTCGAACAAACTACACACCTTCATCAACAGCTGTCTTCGCCCTCTGAAGATCAGATGGCCAGCCAGAAAAGACCAGCAACAGGGATGTATCTCTGGCAATGAACGGACCAACGAACCAACCCAACACAACCCAGCAGGAACTAATTGTGTAACAAATATGCATGAAGAAATAGAGGTGGATTGGACTGTGGCCATATTGGGAGAAAACAAACCATCAAGTGAGTAGTGACACTATACGCCAGGCTCTTGTTCTTCATCACACACTTTAATCTCATCATCATCATCTAGGGATTAACTTCACGAGAAGCGATTAAACACACACCACATAATACAACAACAATTCGTTCATTCCTTCAGAGTTCCAAGTGGACGGAATAAACATACATACACAAACAGAGGGCTTCAAGCTTTGCCTTTATAGCATACATACATGAATGAGGTTGTTAGCACGCCTTACAACACACACTGAACCATACCCTCTTTTCTCTTCGGTGGGGGATGAATATTTTTTTTCTACCTACCTCAATATCATCGCGTACAATCCATTTTGGTAATTCTGAATACTCCATTAAACGTGGTTCACGTTTCGCTTGTTGACTTTCAGCGAATTGACGTTCAGCATCCATTCGTTGATAGATTTCAAATTCTTCTTCATTACGAGCTAACATTTGATTAATTGTCTCATCGTCGGGAGCTTCATCTTCCTCTTCATCAGCTTCCTCATCTTGTTCAAGGAGGGCTTGCAAAAATTGACGTCTTTCTGTTCCAGTGGATTTTTGATCAAACATACCAGCTTGAATAACTTTTTGATCAACATCTAGCTTGAAACGGGCTGCAGCCAAAATTTTCTCCTCAACTGAATTTATGGAAATTAGACGTAGAACTCGAACCTATGAAGAAGCAGGAGAAGGAAGAAACAAAGATAATGGAATAAATGGATAAAACCACGAAGTAGATAAAATATTTTTGTGAAGTGAGAAGGGGAGAGAGAGTGAGAGGGAGGGATTTTTCACTAGTGTGTAAGGGAGTGGAATTAGACACAAAGACATCCGGTAGATGCGTTAACAGGACTCCAACACATGGAACTAACTATAAAATAGAAAAGAGGCATTCAAAAAATATCAAACTATTTTAAAGATGAGTTGAAATGGTTTAATTTAATGCCTAAAATTAATAATGCTACTAGGATATGTGGTAATATAAAAATACATGAACCAGGTTAGCCCATAATACCAATAGCAGATTTAAGAAATACGCCGACATATGAATTGTCAAAACACTTAGTTCTAATGATATTATGTCCCATTAGAAATCCTTCAAACTCTAGGCCAGCTGACTAATTCATATGAAGTGATGAAAAGGAAACTAAATGACATTCAAGCAGAAAATAATGAAAAAATTTGGTTAGTTTTGATATAACTAGTCTTTGTACTAATATACCAATCAATATGGCAGCCTTAGAAGCCGTTAAAAGAGAATTAACTGCAGATCCTGAACTCACTCATAGAACAAAGCTTCCCATTGAAGAAATTGTTTTAGGAATTCAGTTATGCGTTACATCCACTCTGTTTAAATTCCAGGGCAAAATATTTATACAAACAGAAGGCGTAGCAATGGGATGATGGATCACCAATATCCCCTATCGTAGCGGATAACTATGTGAACAATTGCTCTTAATACATTTAATCCTACCCCAAAAATATGGTGGAGATATGTAGATGACACTTTCACACACAGTGTTAAAAACAGATCATATCTCTCTCAAGCTTCTTCACACACACATACACACAAACAAACTCACTAGTAAAGGGAATCGGAAAATGAACAAGGAGAATTAGCTGTAGTGTTCGACTGTAAAATGAAACGAGCAGAACAAGGAAAACTGCATGTATACTAGCGTTTATTAATAGCCAACGTATTCTGCTTATGGATATTTAGACTGTAATTCATCTCATCCGTTCGTTATCTATCTGTAAAGGCAGACTTAATCAAGTGTCTAACAAACCAAGCAAAAACATTACTAAGTAGTATAACAAAAAGAACTAAATAATGAAATGAAACAGATAGAAGAATGGCTGGTTAGTGTTACATATCCTAACTGACTATCGTATAAGGTTAATTAGGAAGATCAGAAAAGGTCAAAAGCAAAATAAAAACAGTGGTGAAACTACAGTTTTATTGATATAAGGAGGGAGAGGATATCTGACACCCTCCCTATGTAGGATTCTCACTAAAGTAGGATTTAGGATGATGGTGGCGCCATTTAAACCTACAAACTCACCCAGGTAAGAGAAGCTTTGTAGGTAGGTTGATCCAATTGAACAAAATAACATAATTTACAAAATACCTTGCAATGACTGAGTTAGGTCAACTACCTACAGAGGTGAGTGAAACTAGTCGGTCAGGCAGGAGTAGCCAGATTGCCTGTCAGTACATATAAATTCGGTCAAGGTTAGAATGGTTGACTTCACCCACGAAGATAAGTAATTTAGAACACAGCTCAGCACTAGATTGCACTGTATGCATTAACACACGATCACACTATAGGGTGGGAAGGACAGAGTCATAATTCTAAAAAGTGATATAGGTAGGTGGGGAAAAAGAGAGATGAACTACTGAAGAAAGTTATGTAAGTAGTGTCCTTGATATGATAATGAGTACTAGCAATGATAAATTGTGCTCGAAGCGTGTGGTCATCATCAGTAAATATTACTGTACAACAAACACAATGTGTGTGACACTTTATCAAAATGCATCTTTATCCATAATGGAGTTGTACTCAACCACCACAGTGCCCCCAAGTTTCATTCTTATATCTATACTATTCATGTTGGCAATATTTTTCCACGATTATCCGACTTTATTGCATCTGAATTCTGATTGGTCGATCAAAGGTCACTGTAGTTTTGACGATGGATAGTGTTTAACTTTGTCCAAAGAACAAAAATAACAATTATACAATAATTAAAAAAAATATTCTGACAGGAAATTACCTCATTTTGTTGACCAATACGATGAGCACGATCCTGTGCTTGTAAATCTTGGTGTGGATTCCAGTCAGAATCAAATATAATAACTGTATCTGCAGCTTGAAGATTAAGACCCAGCCCACCAGCACGTGTTGACAGTAAGAAAATGAATATATCCTCAGAGGCATCATTAAACTTGACGAGTAATTCACCACGATCTTCTGAACGTGTAGTACCATCAAGACGTAGGTAACGAAAATTTCGATAATCAAAGTAGTCCTAAGAAAAATAACAATGAATGACAAGAAAAGAAAGAAAGATGAAAATAGGCATATTATGGCTAAATAAGAAGCACATTCAACAACGAAAACAAAATGACATAAGTTTGAGTAAGCAATGAAACGATTTCTGTTTCATTTTTAAAGAAAGGATACAGCTATAGCCTGATTGAAACAACGCGAAAACTCAGTGAGAGACGTTCGAAGGGAATACATGAGTTAGTCAAGCTGGCTGACTGGCTGTCTATTACCACCAACGATGATATTCTTAACTGTAGTGGACTGGATTATACGTCAGACTGTGCGTTGGGAGCTAGGAAGACATGAGTACGCTGCATTGACTGATAAGAAGGCTCTAGAAGATGTGGATTTCGCAGATGATGTATGTCTAGTGTCACACAAACTCGAAGACTTACGGGAGAAGACTGGCAACAAACTCGCTGAAGAAGCAGGCAGCCAAGACAGAACTGAGTCCATCCAGGTGATGAGCAAGGAGAAGGTGGAGACGGAGGTGATGAAGATAACCAACCAACAGCAGCAAGCACAACAACCAGCACCAATCAATATCAACAGCAGAGATTTGACAGAGGTTACTTTCTGCTTCACTTATCTAGGCTGCAACATCGTGTCAACCACAGGCATTATACTCTTGTTTATCCCAAGCAAAGTACCAAGCCAGACCATCGTAGAGAAAATCAAACCGCACTGGATAGAAAAATTCGATCGGAACAGGTTGGATTCAGGAGAAACAGGTCATGCATCAATCAAATCGCAACACTACGTATCATCCATCAGTGAACAAAGATTGGAATGGCACTCAGCTCTCTGCCTCTATCTCAACTTCATCGACTTTGAAAAGGCCTTCAGAAGACAGAGTAGATCGAGAAGTGATTTGGAAACCACTTCGCTACTATGGGGTGCTGCCAACAATTATACATCTCATCCAACAGTTGTACGATAATGCTGAATGCCAAGTAGTCCACAACGGGAAACTCACGGAGTCCTTCGAAGTGAAGACAGGAGTAAGACAAGCTGGCTGCCTACTACTATCTCCAACAGCAACAACAATAAGCATAAATGGGAGGAATCTGGAAGAAGCAACCTCCTTTACCTACCTACAGACCTAACTGGGAAACATCGTTTCTACTACACAAGGACGGAAAATAATGAAGATATCATCAAAGCGGGAGGATAGGGAAAGCAAGGCAAGCTTTCATTACTCTCATCAAGCCTGTGTGGAGATGAACAGCACTATGCAACATAACAAATAAGATCTGGATTTTACAACTCCATTGTGAAGTCAGTGCTTGGTACCGCACCGCGCCGCGTCATGAAGGCCACTTCGAACAAACTAAACACATTCATCAACAGCTGTCTTCGCACAATACTTCGCTCCCTCAAGGTCAGATGACCGTCGAGAAAAGACCACCAACAGGGATCTCTTGCGATGAGCGAACCAACCCAGCAGGAACCGGTTGTGCAACAAATATGCAGGAAGAAATGGAGGTGGATTGTATTGTGGTCATACTCTGAGAAAACAAACCATCAAGTGACTAGTGACATCACACGCCAGACTGTCCCTATCTCTCTCTCTGTCGAATGGGAGAGAAGCGGCGAGTTAGTTGGTCGTGAGTGTGAGGGTGAAATGGAGGAGGAGACGGTGATGCGAAGAGGAGATGAAAGCATGTGGGCATAGGTAGAGTCAGGTGAGAAAACGTTGGTGTAGAACCCCGAACGCAGTGGAGACGTGAGTCTGAAGCGCTATGTTGCTCTGGGAATTATAGGAAACAATAAACTGGAAGATATTCTACCCCATGTAACAGAAAGGCATCCTCCATAACACTTTTATATGCATTTTCTTTTCGATAAATAGTGCCATACTGGCACCACACGCACACACACTCTCTCTTTCTACACCATATCAATTGAGAAAATATAACCTACCTGCATAATTGTCATTAAACTGGTCATTTGACAAAATATCAGCACACGATGTCCACAAGCTTTCAATTTTGGTAAAATTCTATCCAGTAATTCAAATTTCCCCGAGACACGATATAATATTTTCCCTTCAACTTGTGTTGGTATCGGTAGATTAGGCGGTGGATTGTTATTGTGTAAATTTAAGAAATTCTGTTCAGCGATTGCCATTTCAATATGCGTAAACATAAATGGATGATTGCATATCTTTCTTAATTGCATAATTGTATTCATCAGGGTTCGACAACCACCTTTTCCCTGAAAAACAAAAAAATGAAAGGGAGGGGGTGGGGTTATGGGCGAATTAGTGATCTAATCAATCAATCAATCAACTTAAAGCTCTAACAAAACACAAATCCAACAAACAGGAAAAGTAAACTTCGAAACGCGAACTTACTCACCATTGTAGCCTTAGGAAATTTAGTCATCTATACCGAAAAAATGATAATGATAATGATAATCTCCCAGTAGGCATAAAAGAAATCAAAAAACAAACAAACAGAATATCATCGGTAATTTTTTTGTTCCTTCAAGTTCCCAGTGGAACAAACATAGGGCGGCTTGAAGTTTCTGTAGCAGTGGTGATTTATTTTTACAGGATGGGTTCGCTGCTAGCCTCATGCTCATCCAACCCTTCCTCTTTACCAGATTTTATTTCTGGCTTAACAAGGTAAAGGGATGTGTCCGTGGTGCCCGGCTGGGGATCGAACCTCGGACGATGTGCATGGTCTGCAAGCGTCCTAACCGCTATGCCACCGACGCACACATATATACATGTATGATATATTTTCAAGTATTGTTTTTCTTTTATGTATGTTTTGTTTGACTGATTGATTGGAGGATTTTATCATGAGCACTGACATCGGTTGCTAGTTAGAGAACAGATGTAAAATGGGTATACTGAGAGTCAGTTGATGTAGGTTTTCTATATACATTTCTTATTGTGTACCGTCCTCTTTTCTAGTCATGATGACGTCATCTAGTGAATGAAATACAAGAGTTTCTGTCTTCCACGATGGTAAAATTTATTGCAGGATGAACATTGTTGAATTTGTCAGTCGTCCATGTAACGACAGTAGAATTCTACTTCATCAATTACATCTTTCATGCGCTCATCCATTGTCTAGTTTCGCAAAGGAAAATGTCAGCTAGAATGGCATCCTAGTGGGGTGACCCCATTGTGCCACACCATTGATTGGATAAAGGCGAATGACTTACTTTTTTATCCTTCTCTGATCCATCTGTTAGAATAACACCTTTCGATTGCATATGTGAATACAGAACTCGTTGTAAATCTGACATTTCACATTTTATCACATATTCAACCTTTTCAGGCAATTGTGACTCGACTTCACGTTTTAAACGACGTAATAAGAATGGACGTAATACTTTGTGCAGACGACGAATAATAAGTAGGGTTTCTTCTTGATTTAACTCAACCTAGAGGAAGTAAAACAAGTAGTCAGAAAAATTGAAATATAGAAGACTCTAAACATTATAATAATAATAATAACAAAAATAATAATAATAATATAGACCTAATTATCTGTATGTCATTTTTACATGTCTTTTTGTCTTTCTCTCACCCTGCTGCTGTCAAATGTAAGATAATGGATGCTACAGGACTGCATTGGACTACAGTGACTACTCCCAGTTTAGAAATAGGGAGTGAAATGATTGGTGGAGCGTGTTGACCACTTCACTTATTTACTGGGAAGTTGCATCAGCCAACGCCAACACCAGCGGGTTGATCGCTGACGAAATCTCAGCGGGGTATGGATACAGAAAGCTCTTCTCGCATATGCCAGTTTACACCGTCTCTGGCTTAGTAGAAGTGATATCCGACTGCCTGGTTGGCTGTCAACCAAAGTACGTGTGTACTGCTCAGCAGTCCGCTCCGTCCTCCTTTATGGCTGTGAGACATGGCCATTGAAAGTGGAAGACATGAAAAGGCAGACTAGCCAGTTGTCTTTCATCAAAGGTGCCTGCGTTCTATCTCCCGTGTTGTCAGGTGGTGGTATAATAGTGTAAGCAATATTGAGGTTAGGTATCGGTCCAATGCTAAGTAAGGAGGGGAGATGATTAGGACATGTGTTACGTATGCCTAGCCACCGTCTTCCTCAACAATGGGCAATGTTAGCTGACATAGGGTCAGGTTGGAAAAGAACTAGCGGCGGTCAAACCAAAACATGGCTTCATCATCAACCAATGAAATCCACAAGAGTTAGTTTAAGCCAACCAAGTAGGGAGGTGTAGACTTACTGACTGGTTGGGGTTGTCGGAACGGTAAACACCAATGGCTGGAAACAATCGATGATATGGTTGGCTGACGCAGATGCATCGACTCCTTGTGACTTATAATACCCAATAGAACTATATTGTTCTTCATTATTACTATTCCTTTTTTCTCATATCACTGTTTACTGTCTCTATTTTGCGTTTCTTTTTACTTTCTTCTCTTGCTTTGTGTGCTGCAAGGGAGTAGTGTGGCGACTCGAAGTGCTGCCGCACATCGGTGCAAATTTCTACGTTGAAAACAGACAACAGACAAACAGACCCCCCACACTTATTAATCTGTAGATCTAATTTTCTCTCACCCTACTAATTATGACGTTTTAAATCCTATTGGTTATTCACTGCTTTAATGACATTAGTGCTTCTCAGGGTCATTTTAAACATACTATATAAATACGCAAGCGCTGTCAACCGTTTTCTTGGGACTGTTTTGAGACAATAAAAGCTCTCTCACCAACCAACGCCCAGTCTTTTCTCCTGTGCGGCCCGGAGGTGTTATTATTGTTGTTGTTGACGTGCGATTAGGAAAGATTACTAGCCAGCGCATTTAAGTTAGTATTCACTCAATCTACTAGGTCGTATAGTTCCAGTCATGACAAATAATACTCGATTTTGAAATTATTATGATTTAAATATATGCTAGACAGTAAAAATATTATGTATGTATTTCCATCTTTTCACCTCTACTCTACAGCGACGAACATGAAAGATAATCACAAATTTCAAAACCTCTATGTATACATACTAATAAGTTTATAATATTCTTGAAAAGAGTTTGAATAATAATGAGATAGATCGGATCAAAAATTTTTAGAATTTATTCGATTGGAATAGCATCCAGCTACTATGTTTGACACCCTTGAGATACATTGCAGTATAATAGAACTGTGGGAGTACATCGTACGTTGATAGATAATCCGGTAGTAGCGTGCTCGCCAGCTGGCTGGGATATTGAAATCGACATCTACCTCGTAAACCTCAACTAATTTACTACTCGGTCATATTATACTATTATTCCCCTGGGTTCCGAGTGGAACACAGGCTGATTTCAACAACACCACGTCTCCGCTCTCTTCTTTTTTCTGCCGTCCTCTTCAGCTGTCTAGCTCCATGATTGACCATAATTTCTCATCTCCTCCTCTTCCTACTCCTTGAAACACGATCTCCTCCATGGCACAATAGCACCAACGACTCACTCGTCGCCTTCCATTTGGATTCCGCTAGAGCGAAGGCCTGCGTCGCGAGCGATTTCATTCGAAGGTTTCCTCAATGTATGCCCGATCAATCCATCTCCATTTTCTCCTACATATTTGTTGAGCGGTTGGCTCTTGCTTGTTGGTTTGTTCATCGGTAGAGTTTCTTGTTACTACTTCTTTCTGTCCGGCTGACCATTTGATCTTCAGTATGGAGTGAAGGCAGTTGTTAATAAAAGTTCCATGTTTCTGACCCATATAGAAAAACTGACTAATTTCACATGTGTGCTGGAAACCTGAATCTTGTTTCCTATGCTGAGTGAAGCAGAAGATTTCTAAACTAGTTGCAGACTGATGAAGGCGTATCTTGCCTTTCCGATTCTGACTGGCTTTGACATCTTCATCCGTTCTGACTGTCTGTGGTTGAAACAATGCTTCCGAGATAAGTGAAGGAAGTGACCTCCTTCAATTGCTTACTGTTGATAGTGATTGGTGCTGTTTGTTGCAGCTGTTGGTTAGTTATCTTTATCACCTCCGTCTCCACCTTCTCCTTGCTCATCACCTGGATTAAGTCAGTCCTGTCTTCGCTGGCAGCCAGTCAACCTCTTCAGTCAGTTTGTTGGCTTTCGACTGCAAGTCTTCGATTCTGCGTTGTACTAAACATTAAATCATCCACACGCGAAATCCAGGTCTTCTTATTGTTCAGTGCAGCGTATTAAATTCATCGTAAAGCTCATTACAAAACATACAAACACACACACAAAAATAGTAAAAAAGTGAAAGAATATATTACTATTATGCTGCATCCAGACATACTTTTTCGCCAGTTGCCGCAAATGGAGCATTGAACCATTGTTCAAAAGTATTAACACTTTCAAATATTGTTGGTAATAAGAAATTCAGTAGTGCCCATAATTCTGGCAACTTATTCTGTAATGGTGTACCAGTAAGCAATAATCGATATGGTGCTGTATAATATGTGTTCAATACTTGAGTTAATTTACAATGATGATTTTTCATCCGATGACCTTCATCAATTATCATGTATTTCCATTTTACCTATGTAAAACAGAGAGAGAAAGATAGGTATGTATACACATTATTGTTACAAAGATGAATACAACTCATCAAGAGGAATTCTATGACTAAATAAAAAAACATTGAATTACAAAAAAGATAAATGTGACAGGCAAATGTTTGGTTGTAGGATTTCATTATGAGCAATGACATCGGTTGGTGGTTAGAGAAGGATTGGAAAACCAGCTGGGAGTACTGGACAGCTGTTTCGTCAGCTTAGTTTGGGGCTGGCTCTTCAGCAGTATGCACCGACCCCTACTCGACTGTGGTTCGAACCCAAGACCACCTTTTGGTTACAAGGCCAGAGAGCTGGCTCGTAGACCATTAAGTAGTCATTCACTGGGAGCCGATCTAATGGCCAGTCAGTACATGAATTTTAACTTCTGCCAATTCACACACGATACAGCGCGACTGGCACTAGCCAATGTCTTCTTCGATAAATAACTGGCCTCACACCCCTGACCTGCTGCACCATACTGGTCACGACTTCTCACTAGAGCCCTTGTAACCAGGTCCTGGGTTCGAACCCCGGTGGGTGCACATTGCTGAAGAACTCCAAACTAGGCTGATGAAACAGCTGCCCAGTACTCCCAGATGTATCCCGTAACCAATCAATCACATCCATACAAGCCGAAACTAGAAGAAAGGGAATTTGTGTTTTATAGAGGCTACAACACACACAATAAATTGTAGGAAGGAAAGGGAGGATGAAACATATGCTGCTCGGTATGCCTCTGTCAAAAAAACTTCCTTTAACACTGGTCAACACACAATATCAAAAAGTAGTTTGGCATTATCATCATCATCTTGATGGTTACCTTAATGAATTTGTTATATACTAAGAAAGAGATGCTAATATTAAGTACCATTTTGTGCGTCAGTGGTTCTGTGGTGGTGTGATACAGACAACAATGTGTTCCGACGGAATATTATTCTCACATATACTATTCCCACAGTTCAATACCGCATTATTGTTATTATTTCCCTTGTGTCCCAAGTGGAATATAGGACTGGCTTCAACAACATATTTCCACTTTGTTCTGTTTTCTGCCAATCTCTTCATCTGGCTAGCCCCACGATTGCCCAAACTCTCTCATTTCTTCCTCACACGATTTCCTCCATGTTACTCTAGGACGACCCAGTTGTCGCTTCCCATTTGGATTCCACTCGAGGGCCTAGCATGCGATGTCATTCGGCGGCCTGGTCAATGTATGCCCGATCAATCCATCTTCACTTTCTCCTACATACTTGTTGAGCGATCAGCTCTTGGTTGTTTCGTTCCCATAGTTTCTTATTGCTTATTCTTTCTGGCCATTTGATCTTCAGTATGGAGCGAAGGCAGCTATTGGTGAAAGTCTGAAACCTGTTGGAAATCCTTTTCGTGACACAGCGCGAGTTTCGGACATGTATAGATGAACCAACTGCATATTGGTGTTGAAAAAGCGAATCTTGTTCCCTATGCTGAGTGCGGAAGATTTCCAAACTGGTTTCAGGTTGGTGAAGGCATATCCTACCTTTCCAATTCTTAATTTGATATCTTCGTCCGTTCCACCTGCAGTTGAAACGAAGCGGGCTTCCTAGATAAGTGAAGGAGGCAGCCCATGACAAATCTCTTCCGTTGATGATGATTGGTGCTGGTTGCTGTTGATTGGTTATCTTCATCACCTCCATCTTCACTGTATTCACCTGCAGTCCTGTATTCCCTGCCTCTTCAGCCAGTTTGCTGGTCTTCGCTCGCAAGTCTAAGAATTTGTGTGACATTAGACATATATCATCTGCACCTCCATTTCTTCCTGTATATTTGTTGCACAATCGGTTCCTAGTTAGTTTGCTATCAGAGATCCCTGTTGCCGATCTTTTCTGGCCATCTGATCTTGAGAGAAGTATTGGGCGAAGATAGCTGTTAATGAAAGTCTGTAGTTTGTTTGAAGTGGCCTTTGTGACGTGGTGCGGCGAGGCGCCAAGTCTCTGATCCGTATATCGTAGCACAGACTTTACAACGGAGTTGAAAATCCAGATCTTATTTTTCATTCTGAGTGATAAGCTGATTTCTGCACAGACTTGATGAGAGTAATGAAAGCTTACCTTGCTTTCCCTATCCTCGCGCTTTGATGATATCCTCATTATTTTCCGTCCTTGTGTAGTAGAAACGATGTTTCCCAGTTAGGTCTGTAGGTAGGTAAAGGAGGTTGCTTCTTTCAGATTCCTCCCATTTATGCTGATTGCTGTTGCTGTTGGAGATAGTAGTAGGCAGCCAGCTTGTCTTACTCCCGTATTCACTTCGAAGGACTCCATGAGTTTCTCGTTGTGGACTACTTGGCATTCAGCATTGTTGTACAACTGTTGGATGAGATGTATAATTGTTGGCAGCACCCCATAGTAGCGAAGTAGTTTCCAAATCACTTCTCAATCGACTCTGTCTGCTGAAGGCCTTTCCAAAGTCGATGACGTTTAGATAGAGGCAGAGAGCTGAGTGCCATTCCAATCTTTGTTCAGTGATGGATGATACGATCGATGCATGACTTGTTCCCCCTGAATCCAGTCTGTTCCGGTCGAATTTTTTCATCCAGGGCATGTTTGATTCTCTTGTGGATGATGCAACTTAGTATTTTGCTGGGGATAGACAGGAGGGGCATAATGCCAAGCCAGTTGTTGCAATGACTTAAGTCTCCTTTCTTGCATATATATATCTTTAATTGTTTAATTTTACTAACTCTGGACCTCATGTATACTCAACCCCTCCCATCCAACCCTTCTAAATGAAATACAATGAATCCTGATGAGATTACAAACACGTTAGAGTCAAGTAAGTATTTAGGAGACAAATAATATTATATTATAGTGCGTCGGTAGCACAGTGGTTAGGATTCTCGCTGGCCAGGCACATGGCCAGGGGTTCAACCCTGATATCTCATATGCTGAAAATTCCACATTTGTACCAAAAATACAGTACGGAATCAAGTTATAATAAAAATAAAAATAATACATATATAGGCATACTTTTGACAGAGCAGATTTATCCTTGATAATATATTCATAGGTTGTTAAGAGTACATTGATTTTTGAAGCTTTTATTTGTGTCTGCAGAAGTCGACGTGCTTGAGGTGAACCTTTATACAATATCTTTTTAACACTTGGTCCCCATCGATCAAATTCCATTGCCCAATTTGACATGACTCTATACAAAATATTCAGAAATATATATAAAGGTAACAGAGATTAAGACAGGTAAACAGTAATGTATATATATATATATATATATATATATATATATATATATATACGCCAGAAGTATGAAGTACCTTGAGATTATGGAAATTCATTATTCACAACACTATATGATCTAAATGAACTACAATTTGTTGTCACTATCAATGAACAAATAAATAATTGATTGGTTGGAGGATTTCATCAAGAGCACTGACATCGGTTGGTGAGAGAATCATTGAAAACCAGTAGGGAGTACTGCCAGACAGCTATTTTGTCGACCTAGTTTGGGACTGGTTCTTCATCAGTATGCACCCACCACAGGGGGTCGAACCCAGGACCTTCTGGTTACAAGGCGAGCTAGCTCGTAGACCATTAAGACACCGTTAAACTATGTCGTAAATTGGCAGAAGTTAGAATTCATGGAATGGTCATTGGATCGGGTCCCAGTGGCTGCTTAATGGTCTACGAGCCACCTCGTCTTGTAACCAGAAGGTCCTGGATTCGAACCTCGGTGGGCACGTACAGCCATGCTCAACTTATCCAGCATGCAACACCTCCCTGAATGGAATATAAAAACAGGTCCTCCATCTCTAACTGAAGTTAATAAAGTTTTCACTTGTCTGAAACGAGGCAAAGCTGAGGGACCAGATGGAATGACTCCAGAGGTGTTTAAGGACGGTGGAGACAATTTACTGTCTGAGTTAACTAAGGTATTAGGCAGCGTCTGGGAATCAGAGATACTCCAGTCAGATTGGTGTAAGTCAATGATTGTCCCGATATACAAGAATGTAGACAAGTCTTCCTGTGATAATCACAGGGGGATTAGCTTGAATAATATGGCAGCAAACCTATGTTTTTCATTCTCTAGCCGACGAATGATTGGGACACAAACAAAGAATAAGCTAGATAGTTTTGCCACATCTATGTGCATTTATTAATTCAAATGTACCTGAGGTGACAGTTATGTCGGGCGTACTAATAGACAGCTTAGCCAACGTGTCACCACTGAACATCTCCCATCATGGTGGTTTGGCAAAGGACAGACAAAAACAATCCAAGGCTCAGTTTTGACACATTTAGTTGATAGTGGTCATTCAGTGGAGAAAACGAGAGCTTTCAAGGTAATTCATCGAATCCTACCGAATCTTCCCAATAGACTTCGTATTCGACTACTGCACACAGCTGAAGCGATAGGCTTTTGAACTATCAAGGCCCTAAACTATGCATTCAAAAGAAGTTCGTATAGTCATCATCCCTCCCTTATCGACCTATTACATAACCAACTGATACCTTCTCCACCACCACCCCTTAATTATATTTTCAACCCCTCTCTTATCATCCTTTAATCTTATTACATCTTCATTAAAAAGGTATTTTATTTACTTCCCTTACAATCTAGCATTACTGAATCGGTTCATTTGTTTTTCTCAGCATTTTCAACTACTACGTCTACCTGAACATTTGTTTGTTTAATCATGCTGTTTTTCGTTATTCTTGTTATCACAGATCACCTCACTTTTTCATCCTTATTACTGATAGCACCATTATTATTATTATTATTATGACTAATTGCACAATTTATATTCACCATCTTATTATCCTATAAAGAAAACACCATGATTGGTTTACATTTGAACTTTTATTTGTAAAGTTATGTAGGTATTTTAGAGTTAGGCCTGATGATGAGATCTACCTAACTGAAAGCAAGATATTGTTCGCTTAAATGCGAACCAAGAACCACATTGGCTTTATCTCAATGTTGCACAGGGAAGTGGAGACGCAGCTTACTGGACACAAAAGTAAGAAGAGGAGCAGGACGTCGGTTTAGACCACTATCTCGTACAAGGAGCACTCCGAATCAAATTTTAAAAATATTTACAAAGAAACAGGAGCTGCAGGATAGACCACTAGCCAAGTTTGATAATCAAAAACTGAAGGATCAGGCTACACACAAAGGACGACATCTTTACTGCAATCATAAGTAAAAAAAAAGGCGGAGACACAAATCAACACTAGCGAAGAGATCAGCGTTGAAAAGCACTGGGACAGTCTGAAAGCGATGTGGAGTCAAACCTGCAGCATGTGGAAGTTCTAGACAGAAGGAAGAGACAGGACAAACAGTAGCTCACTACAGACACACAGAGACTAACAGAAGAGAGAAGGATGGTGAAACAAAGGATTATCCAGTGCATCAACGAGCAACAGAAACATAAGTTGAATGCAAGTTACAAAACACTAGTGACATTCGTTTGTATGTGCTACTTGACCAGAAATTCAGTCAGAAAGAAAATAATTATATATCTACATTTTTGCATCGTTTCAACTACAGGCGGACGGAACTGATGAGAATATCATCAAAGTGCGAGAATCGGGAAAGCAAGGCAAGCTTTCATTCCTCTCACCAAGTCTGCGTGGAGATGAACAGTACTCAGCATGAAAATAAGATAGAGGATTTTCTACTTCAATGCCTCACGAAGTCCACTTCGAACAAATAACACACTTTCATAAACAGCTATCTTCGTTCAATACTTTACTCGCTGGAGATCAGATGGCCAGCCAGGAAAGATGAGCAACAGCGATCTCTGGCAATGAACGAATCAACGCAACTCAACCCAACCCAGCAGGAACCAATTGTGGAACAAATATGCAGGAAGAAATGGAGGTGGATTGGATTGTGACCATACTCTGAGGAAACAAACCATCAAGTGAGTTAGTGACATCACACGCCAGACTGTCTCTATCTCTGTCGAGTGGTACACGAATGGGAGGGAAGCGGCGAGTTAGCTAGTCGTCAGTGCGCGAGGGTGACATGGAGGATGAGGCGGAGTTGATGAGAAGAGGAGATGAATGCATGTGAGCAGACGTGGAGCCAGGTGAGAAAACGTTGGCAGAGAACCCCGAACAAAATGGAGAGATATGATTATAAGGATGAAATTAAGAATATTCATATAACTAATTAATTAATTAATTTAAAAAAGGAGGTGACGACAACGACTTACGAAAGTGGTACAATAATTAAAAATGGTCCATTGACACGTTTTTTCTCCATTAAATAGGTTATCAAAGCAATAGTCTGTATAGTTTTACCGAGACCCATTTCATCGGCCAGTATACCATTCAAATTATTATTGTACAGAGAGACAAGCCATTCAAGACCTCTTAACTGGTATTCTTTCAATCGACCATGAACAAGTATGCTGGCTTGTTCTTTAATTTCTTCACGTACAGCATGTGCAAGTGTATAATAGGATTGAGGGGCATTAGCACCAGATTCACCACGTTTATTATACTCATCATCTTCTGTGCCTACATGTACCATACTATTATCATCATCATCATCGTCGTCGTCATCAACATCTTCAAATTTACGCTTACGCCGGTATTCTTCATCTGTTTCTAGTAAATCATGTATCACTGAACCATCAGTATCAGTAGGAAGAATCTGAAACATAAAAAGTTAATATTAAAAAAAAAACAGATATAATACTTATTGATATAAGGATAAAACTTGAGGGCACTGTGGTAGTAGAGATTATAACTCTCCATTATGGATAAAATGTTTTATTTTGATAAAGTTTCACAGTGTTTGTTATACAGGAATATTTACTCATGATGACCACACACAGGCTTCGAGCACAATTTATCATTGCTACTACTACTCATAATCATATGAAGGCACACACACCACTCACTTTCTTGCTTCGTCGTTTATATACATGCATCAGTAAACATTGATGATGATTAGACAACATTTGATTGAATAAAATCAATCAGTAATATAAGATGAGAAGAAAGTACATTCGGAAATAATAATCATACTAGTGTTATCAATCAAATACAATCCGATGTGAAATAAGATGTTTTCATAGTAAAATAAATAAATAACTTGTTGTTAGAATGTTATAATGTGTATGTGAATTGAATTGAAGAAATAGAATCCATTTTAAGATTATTTATTATCCTACTCTGATTTGAATTACTCAGAGACTGGTGGTAATAATATCTCCCATATCTGTGGTATTAGCTGGCGACGATGAGTCACTTCTATTGCATGTGTTGTGCTGCGTTGTGTTGGGTGCATAGACTCGATGAACCAGGCAGGATTCAGTAAGTAACCAATCTCTGCTTATCTCTATCTCTGTCTAAATGAAACAGATAGAAGAATGGCTGGTTGGTGTGTTAAATAACTCACTGTCCCATACAATTCATTAGGAAGATGAGAAAAGGTCAGAAGTAAAATAAAAATAGTGGTGAAACGAATAATGATAACATAAATAAGAGAGAATACATGGCATCTACATTAATGTTACCATATAAGGAGGGGACATCTCAGACCCCACGTGTAAGATTCTTCATAAAGCAGGAATTGCAGTGGTGGTATTCAAACCTACAAAGTCACTCAGATAGGACAAGCTCTGTAGGTAGGTTAAGGGACCTATATATTGAGTCAATTAGACAATATGATTTACAAAATAGCTTGCAATGACGGTGAGTTGGGTCAACTACCTACATAGGTGAGTCACACTAGTAGATCAGACAGGAGTAGTCAGATTGCCTTTCAGAATATAAGAATTCAGCTAAGGTTAGAATGATCGATCCCATTAAGATAAGTAATTTAGTTACTCATCATCGCTAATACCACAGATATGGAAGATATTATTACCACAGTCAGTCAGTCAGTCAAATCACAGCAGGATAATAAATAATCTTAAAATGGATTCTATTTCAATTCAATTCAATTCACATACACATTATAACACTCTAACGACAAGTAATTTATTTATTTACCTATTTTACTATAAAAACACTCGTCTTGTTTGCCTTCCCATCTTGCTGTATTTTTACAAAACACAACATAATTTAGCAAAGAATATTCTTTCCGATAATTTCCTGATTTTCTCAATTGAAAGAAGCTTTGTCTGTTAAAGGACCCTGTCTGTGGATCCAATTAAACGAAACAATTTAGTTTATCTACTACCCTGCCTGCAAAGACTGTCAGGTTAAATACATAGGTCAAAGTAGTAGAACAGGGTTAGTCAGTCAGACTAGCAGAGCCTAAAAACCTAGCAACAAAATCAGGATTAAGATAAGATCTGGAGAATAGTTCAGCAATTACACACAACTGTACAATACAGGATGATGGGATAAGATGACGGTTTTAAAATCTAATACAACTGACAGGGTGGAGGGAGAGATATATTTATAACGGGAGCTTCGAATCAACTGAGACGGCAGAATACGTGTAATAGGAATGATTCAACACCTGCCCACCCAGACATCTGGACGTCGACAAATAGAAGAGAACAAAATAAAACTATAAAACTCAAGTTTTGAAGTTTCACTGACTCTGTGTGTGTGCATGCACGTGATACATATAATAAACAAACTAATATAGAATAAACATATATAAAGAATATACCATACAAATACAACTTTTGCCTTACCTCCCAGCCTTGATGTTCTTGCAGCCAGGTATACACTTCAGAAGCTAATGGTGCAGAATCGCCTTCTACAATTTCTTTCGTTGTTGTCTGGTACATAGGTATGCGTACTTCAGGCAGCTGTTGTACACTTGATGATGAAAACATTTTTCCAGATAACCAATCACGATTCACCTGATGCAGTTCTTCAGGAAACTTTTCTGTCGATGGAAGAGTAGACAGATAACTTGGCGGTTGTCCACCAGATTTGATGACATCCTCGGCCAACTTTCGATAATATGCAACAGCATTTTGTAGCGCCGACTCCTGGGCAAGTTTGCGCCTCTCTGATCTCTCTCTAAATCGTTGCTTACTTTGTTCACGTTTATGTTCACGGACAAGTTTTGTTAGATTGCTAATAAATTCATCAGTTTGTGTCAGTAAATGATGCAAACGTTGATCTTTCTTGGCATCGATAAGACATCGATAGCCTTCTTCATCCTCGGCCATAAGACGTCGCATACGTTCACGATCAATTCGCTCCTGCTCTTTTCTTTTATCACGTTCTGCATTCGCCTTGTAGCTGAGAACAGCTTTATTCATTTTTGCCATTCGACTGTTAACATTCCGATGAAACTCTCGAAAATCTTTTCCATGACTGAGAATAGCATTTAAAAATTCTTGATGTTTTTGACGACGTCTTTTTTCTTGTTCATGTTTCATTTGTTTCTCTAACTTTTCAGTGAAACGTGCCTCTCTTAGCGTTTGCTTTTTAGGTCTTCTATAGGCTTTTACATTTAACGCTGTTTCAAGACTTGTATCTCGTCGCATCGCCGAGACAATATCTTGTCGTAATTGTCGTTGAAAATTTAATAAACGTAAAGCGCGAAGTTCAATGAGTAGGGAAACTCTTTGTTCTGATGTTGCAAAGATAGTTAGATTATTTAATTCTTTAATACGTTGGGCAATACGTGATTGAATACGTTGTTCTCTTTCTTTTAATAATTCCACAGGATCTAAACCTTGTGGACGTTGGATAGGCGTAAGTCGACTTCTTCCAAATGTACCCGTGGTAGCCGGTAGGTGGTAGTTGGCATTTGTAGATGATACAGGTGTATAGGATTGTGTATAACCAACTGATGGAGTTATACGCGCTGTAACTAAACCACCACCACCACCACCCGGTTGTACACTAGCTCGTAAACGAGAAGGCATTGACATATTTGGATTGACTGGATGTAATTCATTTTGAGCAATAGTGGCTTGTTGAGGAAGTCCAGGAAGGAATTGTGGATTATGCATTGATGTTATTGTGGATTGAGACCATTGATGTCCAGGTATATTAGAGCTTGATGATCCACTCAAAACCATTGGTGGATGACTTAGAATTTGCCTGCCTTCAGCTGCCAACAATAATGTCTCTGGGACTGGTTGCGATTTGGAAAGTAGTTTAAATGCATTGATCTGTGCTCGTAACTGAACTAATTGATCTTTCATAAACGGACCTTGGTGAACTGGTGCAACCGACATTTTTATTGGCCTCCAATCTGTAAAAAACAAAAGAGTGTAAGAAACATGTTTTACCTCTTCAGTATTATACAATGGAATTCTCAAATCTAACTTAGCTATGTTGTCAAGGTCATACTGACTGATTGACTGGTTTCAAAATAGAACTCTGCACCGACGTGCAGCGCTTCGAGTCTTCACACTCCACTCAGCAAATAAAGCAAGAGAAAGTAGAAGAAATGCAAAGTCGAAACAGTAGACACTGATGAGACAAAAGGAATAGCATTATCGGAGAACAATATAGTTTTATTGGATATTATAGGTCACAAGGAGTGGATGCATCTGCGCCATCTGTTGAGAACGATCACTTTGAGCCAGCCATATCACCGATTGTCTCCAGCCATTGGTGTTTACTATCCCGAGGATCCCAACCAGTCAGAAAGTCTACACATTCCTATGTGGCTTAAACTAACTGTTGTGGATTTCATTGACTGATGAAGCCATGTTTTGGTTTGACCGCTGCTAGTTCTTTTCCAGCCTGATGCATCCTGTCAGTCAGCTAACATTGCCTATTGTCGGTCGAGGAAGGCGATGGCTAGGCATACGTAACACATGTCCTAATCATCTCAATCGATGCAGCTGCTTCATAGCCTCATCTATTGATTTACCCTTTTTACCTAGCAATCGACGCTTACGCTCAATATTGCTCACCCTATTATGTCAGGCTGTCAAGGTTACAAACATGGGTTAATTGTACATAAGAAAATTTACCACGGTTATTACTTGATACTTGGTGAGAACTGAGGTTATTATGGACATAGAATGTAAACGTATGATCAGCTAAAGACTACTTCAAGCTGTCTACTATTTGTATAAAGGCAACAATAGAAACACTAGGCTTCCTAACGTTTTAAAGTGTACCAGTTCTGAGATTTTGACATACAGTACACTCAAAAAAGCACTAGTATTGTGACTAACTTGCCTTTAAAACTCAATGACTCGTAAGCAACTAACACCAGTTAACACAGTTCAATAAATATGGAAGGTTCTTGGCATAAATGAAATGACAAATGCAAAATATATGTGCAAAACTTGGGCACTGTTGTAGTAAGTAATTCCACTAGATTTCAAAACTGTCATCTTATCCCATCCTATTGTGTGGTTGTGTGTAATTGTATGTAGCAGGGTGGAGGGAGAGATTGATAACAAAAGCTTCGTTTATCGAATCAACTGCAAATACGTGTAATAGGAATGACTCAACACCTGTCCTACATATCTGGAAAATTCTACTACCCCTACGACGATAAATAGGAGAGAACAAAGAAAACTATAAAACTCAAGTTTCGAAGTAGTGTGATTATAATTGATGATATGATTATGAACAATAAATCTTGTTCGAAACGTCATCCAGTAAATAATACTGTTTCACTAAATGATGCATCTAATAAACAAACGAATATGGGACAGATGGAAAACCTGAGATAAAAAGGGATCCACAACGTGCTTAATGCCATTTATTTTCAAACTGCTAATCAAAAAAATATTTTTCTAGAAGTCACACAGTGATAAGCAGCTGTCGAATAGACATTTTCAACAGTTACATCACTCACGTAGGACACAAGAGAGAAATCCATTGTTTCTGTTTGCTGAAAAGTCTACATATCGGCAAAGAAATCCAGAATGGTAGCATAGCAGATGTAAACAGGCATGAACAGTGCTTAAGATTTCGAGAACGATACATTCGCATCGGTTATTCATTTCGTGTTATGGTAGAGCGAACAACTAAATATTCATTTTCTACCTTATGAGTCGAAATAGACAACTTATACACTTCTCCAAGGATCACAGCAGTTAGTGACTTTACCATGTGATTCCGCATCTCAGGACCATATTGTCTTCAACTTTCATGCCGAAGGTATTTCATTTGACAACGCTAATAGTGAGAATAGTGAATTTGGTACACAACACGTCTCAACCATCTTAGTGAATATTCACCACTTTTTCGGTAAACGCTATACTTTTAATCACCTAACACAAGTATAAACGTAACGTTAAATGCAATTTCAATACACATGAGTAATTTCACGGAGATGTCTAAGATTAGATATATGTACCAAACCATAAAGTACAATAAAAGGAGAATATTTATTCGAACACAAATTTGATACATTACATGCAACAGGTGTACCTTACAAAATATTAGAAAAATAGAGAAATAAGTTTGGAAGGCGGGTGGGGGGTCATTAGCAAGTCTATTCAGACAATACATGGATCCATATTACTGTGGAAGATGCAGGAACAAGACTGTAGTATATTCGTCATTCATTTTCATTTCGAGTTTTATTCTTATATCAATTTTCATTTCGAGTTGTATCTCATAACGTATCGGGTCATAAAGTCATATAATCTCTCTGACCACAGATAAACGCTGACCCAAACACAAATATCTTTTGTTTCAGAGAACCAAATCATCGACCACACCGACACGACTGTCAAATATTGAAAAATACAGCAACCGCTGAAATAACATACTCGGATTACCGACGCCGAACTTCTTAAGTGGCTTTATACATTATCTAAGCATCCCCATAGACCTCATTTACTGGCCAGCCACTCGATGACTGACTTAAATACTCAGAACTTCCTACAAAAGAGCATCTGTTAAAGTAACTACACTTTGTTAAAGGAGCAAAGATATACTATAGCGAAATCACAATGGACAGAGATTTAAGAGAGGGGATACACAGATGAAGCTTAGTCAGTGGTGATTCCCAAAACTTATAGGTATGGGTATACTGCGGTGAGTTCTTTGAGTCATGACACTCTGATCAGTAATTCTGGGCAAACTAACGAACCCATCAAAGAAGTAAAGACCTTCCTATAGAATTTACACTAACAATTAAATGTATCGCATACAAAAGACGGGACGCAAATACCATCTTTTATTCTCGAACATGCATGGCTCTACATCTCATGACTGTTATCATCATAAAATTTACTCACTCAGCATAAACCGCTTACAGAAAGTTACAGGCTGACTGTGCTCTTTTATGTTAAATCCCAAGACAACAATAATTGTAAACTAATTCTATAACCTATACGTCGAAAATGCCTTTTTCTGATAAATGAACGTGTTATCTACTTGAAATGAACTCACAACGTACTGAAATAACGCAGGTGGTCCTTAAGAGGAGTACAGAACGCTTGATTAATGCGACGAAACCTTGAAAATAGGATTTGCAGCTGAAATAATGCCTTCAGTGCTGAAATAAGGCTAAGAAATTGCCACTATGCCCTGAATTAAGCGTTTCCGTCCTGAAGTAATGCTAGTCAGTGCCCCATATGTGCTGAAGTAGCTGGAAAAAAGCTGATAAGCAAACCCAGTAGGTTCTGATCTATTTCTGAAAATGCCTAGAAAAAGAACAGGGTGCTGAATTAGTGCCAGTCATGCTGAAAACCAGAACTGAATTCTAGTCTGTGTGCTTAAACAGACCATTTCAGAACATTATCAGAATTCACTCACTATAGAATGTTAGAGTTAGTCCAGAATTAGCGAGATTTAATTCAGGATTATAGTAGGCTAGGAAGTTATTTCAGAAAAACGGATACAATACTGTTCAGCATATGCTGAACAACTTAAAACGGTAGTCAGCTGACGGACTGGGTTTTCACCACAGAGATTCATGCTGTCATATTGAATGCAAGCGCAAACATATTCTATATTGTATGTGCGACTGCCCTGATTTAAACGTCAAGGATTTCGACAGAGTGCATGGCACTCATATTAGAGCAGTGTGGGGAGAGTAAAGACATTTGTGAAAGACACATAGCGACAATAGGCTTTGGTGGGAAAATAATCATGCATAAACACAACTAACTCAGAGATAGAATACTTACAGCTCTTTACCTTATTGCGAGAATTTTACGTTGCTATGTACAAATTAAATAAAAAAGGATTTGACAATCAAAACAAAGCATTTTGTCTACAGAATTAAATAATGAAACTTAGTCACATAATTACCAAATTAAAGTATGGCGCAACAAATTACTATCACCAGAAAACCCCCAACGAACCAAAGTCGAAACCTGGTTGAAGTTGGCGCGCTGGAGAATCAGCTGCTAATGTTCAATTGAAGAGTTCAAAGCTCGGACAAAGCCAAGAAATCTCCGTGGACGCTTTTTCTACATCAAAACTTTTAGTGTTTTAACCATTGCCATGCAGCATTCTACATGCACATCAATTAAGTAGACATCATGTATCAAGTAAGTCTTGTAATAATGAAACATCAGGATGAGTTCGCTGAAATTCTCGTATTCGCATTCTTCCAAACATGCGTTTATGATGGTGATATCATCTCTATCTCAAAACTTTGTCAAGTGTAATTTTACTTCTGCCGTTAGACGTAGGAGAAGGTAATGCATCTCAAAACTGTAGTGCAGAAGTTGCAGTTTACGATGGATATACGTCGCACAAAAGTCAGAAGAAATTAATACCTTAAAGCATCTGTTTGACCACCAAGAAGTTCAGTTGAACTGGAAAAGCTTGAAAAATCATCAACCATAGGATGCTTACAAACCGTAGAATCAGGCCACAAAACTGATTTTGACACAATCGAAGTGGTTGGAAGATTTCATCATTAGCTGACATCAGTTAGAGAACCATTGGGGAACCTAGGAGTACTGGACAGCTCTTTCCCCCGTCCTAGATCTTCGGACTTGGTCTTCAGAGGTGCGCACCCAACCACACTCGGCTGCGGTTCGAACCCAGTACCTCCCCGGCAGCAATGCGAACTAACTAATAAACCCTAGAGCAGTCACTCACTGGGAGGCGGTCCAGTGGCCAGTCAGTCCATGAATTCTAACTTCTACCGATTCTCGTACGACAAAGCTCAAAAGGTCCATAATGTCGTCTTCCATGAGTGACTGTACTTGCCTTCAGCTTGCTGTACCCTAATGGTCACGGCTTCCAATACAACTCCATCCACCTGCCAGGTTTTCCAATGGTTCTCTAACTGATACCAGCTCATGAAGAAATCCTGCAACCAATCAAACAAAAGTTCTACAAACCAGTGCTTGAAAATTCGTCTAATACTCATTAGCGACTGGCCCTATTCAGACAGTTACCAATTCGCTTTGTAGAACTGTGTGTGAGCGCTTTGAGAAAGGAGAGTGGCGTTCTTTACGTTGTGAAGTAACTTCTACTTTTTCTGTTTAAATCACATCACAGAGATGTTGCAAGTCATCTTCTCTTTGGGTGTGCGAATTTTGCAGTATCCCGTTGGATGCCTTCATTTAAAAGGTAGTGGGACTGCTTCT